TTTTCATTTGTTGTTGGGTTGACTTTTGACTTTTCGAGATATTCCCCCTCGAAGTAGACGACCCCTATTTTGTTCCCAAAGTGGAAAAGTAGCGTTCTTGAAAAACGATCCCTCCACAACATGAACAAATAGCGCCACTTTCGAGCTCAATTGCATCCAAAATGCTCAAAATTAGAAGCCCCAACGCAGGGACAGCGGGTTCATTGCTGTATTTCTTCAATTCCCCAATGTTATGGCTTTCAGAAGTCTCTAAAATAAAATATTTTGATAGTATAACTTTTATTCATGAGCTCAGAGGAGTGGGTTGAGGCCTATTAATACCGGTATGCACAACTAGTGCTCTCACACCAATGCTACTTAAATTGTCTTTCAATGGAGGACGCGCCACATCAATAGTGGTCTCAATCTCAACCACCAAATTCCTTCGGGATGAAATTGAATTTTCGTCCACTAATTTGTCATTATGTTTAACAATACCGGATTTAATTTCATAAGAAACCGTCTAACAATGAATCCATTATGACCGTAACACGAAACAGTGTTTTAAGCGTGACAAATACAATCCGATTGGAAGTCATCGTGGATTTTTCGCGTTTAAAAACATTACATTATTGCGATCAAATTAGCCTTATTGTTCAACAATTTCTCATTAAATTGAAACTCCTCATGTGACACATCATGGAAAATCAGTGCACGAAATTCCAATTTAGAACATTCTGTATTTCTTGAGTTGTTTCTCGAAAAACGAGTTTGTTCTTTTTGCTCAACAATGCAGCATCCGTGTTGACGATTTGTGGAGACCACTATTAAAGAGGCGCGCCCTCTATTGATGGAAACTTACAACGCGTCTAATTTTATTGAGCGCGCCCTTTCTCGAAAGAAACTTCCAGTTGTTGTTTGACGGTTTCTCGCGAAATATAATCTCCTTATGAAAAACACTTCAAGACCGATCACTGGCCGAACTTACAACTTAAAACATATGAGCCTGGTAGGCTCGGGTTATTGCCGGGCTAAAAAGGGTGTCATATTTTCATATTTCTTGGACGTTGACTTTCTGTTTACACTTGGTTTGTATTTTTCGCGTTTAAGATACTATTTATTTCGGTCAATAATTGATTTCATTGTTTGACAGTTTCCCCGTAATATCAAATCTCATAATATTACACAGTTATCATGACAAGTCACGTACTGGACGAAATTTCTCAGAACTCTCACACTACATATTAATCTGCACAGAAAAATTATGATCAGCAAATCATCTTCTTCTTTTTTCTTTTCATTTTTGGGTGGGTTGACCACTCATTTTCGAGATATTCTTACCCGCAGAAGACGACCCTTTTTTTCCCCAATGCAGAAAAGTTGTCATCTTGAAAAACGATTCCTCTACAACATGGCAAAATAGCGACACTTTTGAACCCTGTTGCATCCAAATTTTCAGAATTGGAAGCCCCATGTCCAGGGCAGAGGTTCATTTGCCATATCTATTCAATTTCCCAATTTTATGGCTCTCAGAACTCTTTATAATCATAGGCGTAGCAAGCAGGGGGTGGGCAAGGGGTAAATTTAACCCCCAATATTTTCTAAAGACCGCCCTTTTCTATTCAAATGTTCTTTTTTTTTCACCAGCGCTTCCCCCCCCCCAAAAAAAAATGTTTTGTAAAGAATGCCCTTTTTTAACAAGTGCCCTTTTTATCTGAACAAGTGCCCCTTTTGTGCGTGCCTGTATCGCCTGTATCAATATGGTGTCTATTAGTGTGCACAATCGTCGGTTTTGAAGAGCGCCCCCGTCGACAGATGGTACCAGGCCCCCCTCCCCCCCCCCCCCCCCCCCCCCCCCCCCACAGACACACACCCATGTTTGTTTTACATACGTAGTGTGGACATTCCTTTGTTTGCGTGTAGTTAAGAGGAACCAGTGGAATAAACTCAGTTTTTCTCAAACTGTGAAAACTCTTTCAACCCATTTTTTTTCTATGATTCCCTTTAGTGTTTTGCTTCATTCTGCGACAGATAAACCTAACCCCCAAAACATGCCTCTAAACCTGTTTTCCAGAAATGGGGAAACATTGTGTGGACGTAAGCAAGTCCACACTTCGTCGCTGCTACCTACATTATGCGGACCTCTTTTGTTCGGAGGTCCACACTGCGTATGTAAGACAAACTCACTATTTGATTTTACGGAGGCCAAGTGTCCGGGAAAAAACCGTGTCTACATTTCAACACGGACGTGCATGTGCCCTTTTGAAGACATTTCCCCCACCCCCCCCCCCCTCCCCCGCCCCCTCAGTAAAAATGGCCGTGCTACGCCACTGATAATATAGAATATTTTGAGGGTATGACTTTTATGGACGAGCTCTGTGGTTGGGTTCAAGCCTATTTACCGGTGTGCACCCTTTACCATCCTGGGCCATGATTAACCACGATGGTTAACCACAGATTAACCACAGCAAGTTGTTTTTACTGATATAAATCTGCCAATGGATATTTGAAAATTGCGGGGGAGGCTTTTGGAGGACAGTTAGCCAGCAGGGCACTCACGATGACAGGGGGCGCTGTTCAATAAGCACACCGTTCGGCATGAGGAGCCGGACGTCTGTTTCATGTTCACTTCTGACATTTTAGCCAGTGTTGCGACCATTGTGACTAATCAGGTGTCACACCCCACATCCCCCATGCACTTGTCGTCGACCCTGGCCCTAACACACACAAGATGTCTGTAAGCTGATGTGGGTATAGGGAATCGTACAACTTTCACCCTATTCAGCCTCTCTCACCGAGGGCCCCCCTCTCATTCTCACCCATATCTCACCAACCCGCGGGACGCAACCACCTATTAATCTCTATCACCCTTACCCAAGCCAACCTGAACACCCTGCCCTTCACAGGCGGATGCAGAACAACATTCTCGGTGGGCTTCTGGTTTTGTTGGGGGAGGGGGGAGCAAATAAACATGGACCTGACATCCAGCAAGCTGGTAGCTACAAAATCGAAAGGCGGGGAGGGGGGGTATTTAATTTTTGTTCTGTCTACATGTGTAAGCATTTTTTTTTGATTTTAGCAAATCCATGGGGTGAATGGGATGAGTTGACTACACCATCGACTTGATGCTATTCACTGTTCTTGTCTAATTACTGAAAGATAAGTAACATTTGGCATCATATTTTGCACCCCCCCCCCCTTCTTCAACCCTTTACCCCCTCGACACCCACTAAACATCCACCCTACGCACCCTCAACCATTGTTAACCCGGCCTTCCACGATCCCCAAATTAAGAAGTCAAAACCAAAATAAATAGACAAAAATACAAGTAATTAACAAACTTTGTTTGCAATAAATTTTAATATCAGAGCGATTATAATTGTTAACAATAACCACATCAGATTAGAGTAATTAATAAAAAAAAATTCACAAGAGTCACATTGGGTTTTGTTAGTTCAACGACAAACGATTTCACTAACTGTCTTCAGTAAACGGTCAAAATGTATCTGTAATTTTACTTTCCTGATTTTTTAAAAGATATAGTGTTTAAATTCAGTTTTTTGAGTATTTTATATCCGAAACTGATTACATGTCATATGACTAATTTTTGTGTTGTAAATTAGTTAAGCTGTTAAACAGAGCAATATCCTAAGATGTATAATTTACATTATCAACTAATATTTGTCATCAGGAAAGCTCTAGAAACTCAACTTTTAACATAAAACTAAAACTGAATTACACATGTATAACATGTAATACAAAAAAAAAGTATGAACGAAATTGAGAGTTCTTGGTCAGATGTGGCGCAACTGAAACTCATGTGTTTTTTTTTTCTTTTCCGAGGATAAATAAATGAAATCACCCGATTTCATTCAATTCATTGCTGTTGCTTCCACGTTATTTGAGCAAAAAATAATGATTTTGGAGGGTTTTTTTAATCGCAGCTACACGCTAAAACCTTCTTTTTAAAAGGTCATATATTTAACTTCTTTTTAATTAACTATTTTTATGCAGTTTTGATGTCTGGTAAAGCGTTTTTATACTTTAATGTAAAATGCTTAGTATTAAGAATCAATTATCTTTCTTATTATCATGACAATGAACATTTTTCTTTTAATTCATTGGTTACTGTTTTGGCAAAATGGAAAGCAAAACCAAAAAAAATGCAGCACTACTCCTGTATATTTATGCGTTGTGATTTAATTCTATTTATTTAATTATTTATTTATTCGGAGAAAGGAGGAAGCCACTGAATGAGGTGTAGTGATATGCCGAAGTACTCTGCGCCCTGCCGGACATGGTAAGATACACCGAGTCTCCTCGCTGCAGGACCATCGCCGCGCTACCAGACAACTGACCAAGTTGATTTGCTGTACTATAGGTAGTGATTACCTTGTCGTCGTTTTTAACAAGATGGATGTAAAGGTAACCGCTGTGGCTATACTTAAGAACAGAGAACGTAAATACGTAGGTGCCCGGCACACTACAGGTGAACATACGGTCTCGAGATCGAAGCTGGTACCCGGCAGAAGGGTCTCGGCCTGCTGGAAGGGCAAACGGGTGTCGTGACTCGTAGAGGTATCCGAGGGGCTCGTCCTCACCACGGTGAATGCCACCCGCTGGTTGGAGTCGTCTGGTGTCTCCCCTGGCTCACCCTTCTGACCTTTGACACCAGTTTCCCAAGTTCCTCCAACAAAACCAGGTAGCCCTCTCGGACCTATCTTGCCGGGCAGACCAATCCCATCATCACCTTTAGACCCAGTGTTCCCAGGTGCTCCCCGATCACCCATAGGTCCAATAGGGCCAATCTCACCTTGCTGACCTGCATCGCCCTTTGACCCCGGCTGACCGTACGGCCCCATCGGTCCTACTGGGCCAGGCAGACCTGGTATGCCGGGTATTGCAGCAGGTCCCTGGCAGCACTGCTGACACACCTGAGACGCAGGACCATCACCGTCCGAGAGAACCGGCCCAGTAACGGAAGCTCGGAGCTTGACAGAGTTACCCAGAAGGAGGGCGATTGACAGAATGGTGGCCACGCAGATCTTCATCTGTTCAGAAAAGAATAATGGGCCTATTTATAAACCAAAACAAAAATCAATACGAAACAATAAACATGTTACATAAACTGAAGAATTTTTCTAAAAGACATGTATGATTACATAATAATTGTTGAAGCATCATTATTCACACAATGTGCTCGGTGTGATAATGGCAGTGGCCTGTCCGGGGGCAAGGGGTTAAAATTTTATGAAAAGTTGGGTTGCAATGACAACTGTGGCTGTGGGCAATCCACAAATTGGGCGGGTTATTACTTTTGCCCGCTGATAAAAGTTAGCAAAGAAGACCCATTAACATCAGGGTAATTTGGGACGGCGCGCACTTTTCACGGTCATGATATATCAATTAAATATCATCACACCAACCTCGATGGTTCGCTCTTGAAGACTTGAAGATCAGGTCCAAGAAAAGATCAGAAGGAGTTCAGTGTAAGCTGAAAAAAAACAACGAAAACCGGCAGCGTTTAAACTTGAGTAAGGAATGAATAATGTTATCATCGATTTGAATAAAATTGTGAGCTTTTTTTTATTTTGACAAATCATCATTCTAAAACTTGAAAAATAATACACTAATAAATCAGGGAAAAATTACATATTATTTGACCGGTATTTTCCAGGCCGAATACGTCCAGAAAAAAGCAACATGCTTTAATGTCGCTTTGTGATTTTTTTTGGGAAACTGAATGCTCCATAGCACCAGCATTCCATTCTATCAAACAAAGGTGAGCATTTATTAGGCACTAATAAGTCATTGAAATTTTGTGAATACATAATTATGTGAGTTTTAAAAACAGCAAATTGTTCAATCAAAATAGCTCTTTTCTGTCCAATTGCACATCTTTGCTCATTCAATATTTGAACACTTTCTTTCAAATACGCATAAAACAGGCAAGCATTTCCGAAGCCAGTTTAATTTAGCGAACGAGTCAAAATATTTAAGGGTATCTTCAATATACGCGTACAAAAAAAATAGGCAATTGACGTTACTTTGCATTAAATTGATTGTGCTTTGGATTTCAGTCCTGCTCGGGAATTCAACTTCATGCATACGTGTACAAAATGTTACACATTTTCAATAAAATCGGGCAGTGTAGCAAGATCAGTGGCGGATCCAGGGGTGCTGAGGGGCGCCCTCCCCTCCGGCACTGACCGAAGCATATTTTCACCCAAAACCCCTTTGATGTTTTGCAGCATTTTCCCGATTGATCTTCTTTTCTTTCTTTTTTTGCCCCACTCCAATTGATCAACAGTATGAGTTCACGCCTTCTTTTTTTTATCCCCCCCCCCTTTTTGGCTTGTCAGGGGGCAGCAAGCGCCCCCTTGCCCCCCCCCCCCCCAACGCGACGCCCATGAAAGCTGGTGCTTCAAACTTGGAAGTCGTACAGCTCAGCAGGCGGCCTGAATCATTTGTAAAAACATCAACACTTAACATGATTTCTAGAAATGAATCCAGCCAGATAAAGCAATTTGAACTTGAATAAAACTGTGTGGGTAATAATGATCCAGTCCGTTTGTATTGGCGCCCTCTAGTCTATTCTAGCCAGAGACACTTTTATCGTGCAATGCTTGAAAGTATGAACGTTCAGGCCTATATAGTGATCAAACCGGAATGACGCATTGTGATCTAGTGAAATGACAGTTTAAAGACAAAGTGCAAAAGGTATTGAGATTATCCCAATTGTCAATAACACAACATAGGACAGGATGTATGAGATGTCCCGATTTCCTTTATACGTTCTTCCGTGGCCAACTTCCGCATAACCTTTTATCCTGAATTGGTTACAGTGATTGCCGGAAATTGTGAGCGGATCGCATCGGGATTTTATGTCTGATACAATAAACAGGAAAAACTAGCAAGAAAACAACGCGGGTGATTGATCATACTGATATGGGTCAAGTGTCAGCTTTCGCAAGATTTCTTTCTTTGAACACAAAAAGGTTTAAATTTATCATCTGAAAAGATGTGTAAGTGCGTGAACTTCAATCAGAATAAGGAACTTGATGTAATACACTCTTGAAAAACCCACAGCTAGGTTTGACTGGAAAACTGGCGAATCTGAATGACAATAAAAACTATAAAACTTCCATGAATTTTTAGGTTGTTTTTTTCAAGAACTAAATGAACCAGTCAGTATTTGGGCAATTACTGTGCGTCGAGAGTGCACTATGATTGCAATAGCGGAAATATTGTCAGACAGGAATTCCTTTTTCCCAACAAATATAAAACCGAGATTATTTGCTCTGAGCTATAATTGCCTGATTTTGGCCTCAGAAAATGGGGGTCTGAATCCGCATCAACTGTTCAGACTAAGAGCTAATGGCTATAAGTACATTTGTGCCAATATCATATATCAAAAAGATCAATCCCAAAGTAAGCAGAATTATCGTAAAAGATTGTTTCAAACACTCACCGTGCAACTCTTGTTCGATCTTGCCAACAGTTATCTCGGGTTGTCGTCTGGACAAAGACATGAGCTGCGGTCGTTGTGAGGAGTGAGCCGGCAGCTTGTGACTTAAATATTGACGTCGATTTCCCGAGCAGTGACTGAGGAACTTGCAAGCCCGGTTTGTGATTGGCCCCCTGCGCACTGTCAATCACACATCACTGACTCGCTTCATATTGATGAGAGGGAAATGATGTCACTGTTACATTGCCAGACGTTAAACCCGAAGCTTGTATCACCGACACTCAAATGGACGCATCTAATTGGTGGAACGATTATATGGATGTCGGTGACCTATTCACACGTGGATTGTGATTGGCACCTGTCAATCACAGACTACTCACTTGTGGTCACCGACTTGTTGGGTGACTTACTCTGATTGGTGGATAGAATAATGACGTACATCGGCCATACTTGATTCAATCAGTGTTAGTTTTGCGCTTCGTGTTATTTAATGCAGCCACGCATTTGGTGGCTAGTATTTTGTAGTCAGGTTATGCAGTCTATATTTATGATGGAAAAACAAAGGCGTAATGATTTAGCTTGAGAACAAAAAGTAATAAGAACTTCAATATATTGTGTTCATAATATCCTGTCCATGTACAGTTGCCGCGCTCTTACGGTGAAGTATACTTAATTTGCAGAACCCAGCAGGTAACTTTAATTATAACCATTCATCTATCCCACTCCACTAATCAAACGTGCGCTTGGCCAGGCCAACTTCTCGGCGTGCAATCGACCTTGCACCTGCAGACCCTCTCCCTGCTAATTTAGGCCCTCCCACCTCCGCTTATTGAGCCCAACCTATACCAAAAACCAAACACATAATTAGGCCAACCCCTATCTTGACCCTCGCCTAATCAAACCTAATCCCAAACTTACCCCAACTGTTTGGATCCTACCATGTGCAACAAACTTCTTTCTTTAGGAAACACTAGCCTTCAATTGCCTGATCTCCAAGCCAAGCACGAATCCCCATATTAAACCCCTGCCCCCAACATCCCTTTCCCCTCCTAACTACCCTGGGCAGCCAACTGCGGATCCCGAACCAATATGCTGAGGTGGAGAAGGGGAGTGATATGCTTATTTAATGCTAGAGTGCTGTTGTTCCCCTTTCTATTAATAGTTTCGTCGACAGGAAGAGGAAGAGCAAATCCTATCGAGTGCCACCGTTTTTAGTAATTCACTCATCAACTTTCTGCTTATGACAACCAACAGTTTTTCCCGCTACACTAGGCCGGCCTATAAGAATACCTACTGAGACAATTTGAAAAAAACGGTGGCCCATATTCTACCGAAAGTCCAAAATAATCACTGTGCCCCTGAGTGTGCCTGATTTCTAGCGGAACAATACTGCCCACAATTCCAAACCGTACCTATTCTTATACCTATCCAGGGTGTGTCGTTTTCAAACCTAGTATTTCGAGAGATATTACGCCGTGAAGTATTACTCATTGGCGTGGTTCATTAAAGGGACTTTAATTAAGACTCCTCATTTTCTGGATGAAGCATTCGAAGAGTTAAGCGCCTCCCCCAAATCCCAGGCAGGCTGAGTGGTGAGGCACGCCCTCTCTAGCTTTCCGGGTTACGCCACTGAGTTTAAAGTGACGCATCGTATCCATCTCAACATCCTGTAGGGACCATGATTTTCACCACGATGGGAACGTGCAGCACTAACATTTTAACTGAAATAAATCTGCCATCGGATATACCACTGATCTCTATATAAAGACTGGATAGCTAATAAAGAGCCGCACAATGTACGAATTTGACGCCATATTGGTGAGACCGGCTGGTGATCTACAAAGGACGAGTTGCCGTCTTTATAGACAGCATGATTTCCTTTGTAACATCGCGGTTCACTTGACTTATATTTTGGCCACCACCACTGACCAACTGACCAAGGTTTACTACAATTTTTCTAACGTCGTGGTTACTTTTATAATGCCGCAAATCACTTTTTCGGCGTTTTTGAAATAATAATCACTACGGAAATGTGTCCTTTTTAGAACATCATAATATGTGTACGTGACCAAAATGCGCGTCAACTGTTGATACAACGCGCGCGTATTTACGCGTAGAACGTTCGTATTTACGCGGCCATCTTCGTGAGACCGGGGGCGAATTGGTCAATATGCAAAGTCTACTGTGTGAATGTTGTATGCATATCCGCTATCCAGTCTTTAAATAAAGATCAGTGGGATATACTCGGATACGTACTACGCCGTCCGGCATTAGGAGCTGGCCGCGTGTTTAATGCGCAGACCATTTTTACTAAATCGGGTACTCAGACCTCACCGCTGCACTTTGCAACGACCCTGACCCTAACATACCTGCCCGTAAGCTGACGTCGGTTCAACTTTCACCCTATCCTGCCTCTCTCACCAAGGCTTTGCCACCCCCACCCCCCCACCCCCCCACCCCCGTATCTCACCCATCTTCCATCAATCTGCGGGACGCAACCACCTAATCAATGTTTTACAACCTTCAGACCCAAACGGCCTAAACACTCTGCCCCTTCACGGCGGATACAGAACCAAATTGTCGATGTGCTTCCAGTTATGTTAGGCGGTGAGTGGAGGGGAGGGGGCAGGTAAAAGGGCCTGATTTCCGGCAAGCTGGCCGTAACAGAATCGAAAGGCGTGGGGATGCCTTATATTTTTCCTTCATTATTTTTCCTGACTACATTATACTAGCATTTTGGGTGGCGTGGGTGGCTTGTGCGTAAAGTGCTCGCCTCTCACCAAGGTGACTACGGTTCGAGTCCTGGCCACGGATCACGTGTGAGTAGAGTTGTGCGTTGGTTCTTTCCAGTGCCACGAGGGTTTTTCTCCGGGCCCTCCGGTTTTCCTCCCTCCGGCAAAATCAAACACTTTCGATCTCAAGCTGTGCTCCGTGGTCATAATATGGGCCGATGTGGTCGGCAGCCATAGGCGCCTTTACGTGCCAGCGGCCCGACCACGTTGTAGCCGCATCTTTCGCAATTCAGCATCCCAGCTGCGAGTAAGGATGATTAGCCTCCCAAATTATTAATTATTATATTTCAAGAATCCGTGGGGAAATGAAACGAGTGGACTACACAATCGTCTTAGTAATATTGTTCAATTATTGAAAGATAAATAACTAATGGTATCAGTTTTGTTGCCCCCTCCCATTTTCAACCCCTAACCCCCTCGACACGCATCTGTACCGGGCCTTGAACACGAACCCCAAATTCAAGACGACAAAACAACAAAATAACTATACAGAAATAGAAAGTAATTCACTGATTTGTTGCAAATATTTTTAATATCAAATTGACTAGAATTGTTAATAATATTAACGGATTGAAGTACTTAATAAGACATTTGTTCACAAGTGTCAGATTGGTATTTGCTCGTTCATTTCTATATTTTTTTTAGTAAATATTCAAAATGTCTTTGCAATTCTACTTTCCGGAGAATTCGATTTCTTTCTTCCAGTGTGTATTACAAGGGGCATGTTTGTCCCACTTTATCAAAAAACTAAAGTTTTCAAAACCTTGTTTTTTAGAATTGATATTCTATATCTTGTCACATGATATTACTAAATTAGTTAAGCAGTTAAACAAAGAGATATTATGAAACGTAAATGCACTTGAAAATAAACAACACCTTTTGTACAATAAAATAATCATTAGCAATACAATTATTACTGCATTTTAACAATGCTCTGATAGTGTCACATTAACAATTATAATTTCATTAAATTGTAAACAATCATTTCATTAGAATTAAACTCTAAGACCAAACTTTTAACACGTTAAAAATCCAATGAAACTAATTTGGCACACAAGAACAAAACAAAAACAATAATGACATTTAAGAGTCATTGGTCCACTATGGTGCAATGCAAACTCACTGGGGTGTTTGTTTGTTTGTTTGTTTTTAGAGAGAAAACAAATCCTTCCGAGGATTAATAAAATATGATACTGCATTGGGCGTGTCTCCGCCGGGTTGTCTCTTGTAGCGTGAATTTAGGACCCTATGAAATACAGACTCATTAATATTATATATAGTGCGTGTCTAGGTAGTGATAATTAGTAGAGTGACCGCTCACGCGAGAGAGTTTAACCGATAATAGGGTGCTAGTATGTCAATCACATTAATGTTTGTAGAAGACATAATTATGTAAGGTCTAAAGCAGCAATGTCTTCATTCAAATTTTAGTCCAATTTCTCACCCTTGCTCATTCAAAATTGCAAAACTTTCTTTCAAATGCACTTAAACACGGGCAAGCGTTTCCGCACCCGGTTGAGTTGAGCGAAAATATAAAAATGTTTCAGGGTATCTTCATTACCCGCATAACAAGTGTGCAATCTGGGTAACGTGTACATTGAATTCAATTTGGTAAATACGTTACTTTACCAAAGTAAGACATAGGGTGAATGTGTTATAAGTTTTCACAGGAGTCTGATTTTAATATGACACCGGAAACAAGCCTTTTTGTTTTCTTAATGAAGTTTGGATGAGAGAAAGTTATTGGGAATCAGTATTAACCTGAGTGTCTGAGGAGCATCACCATGGCCAGCTCCGGGCATGGGGGAGGGGGGGGGGCACATTACCAGCTGAGGGGGGGGGGGGACACCACAAGAAAACACACCATTGCAGATAATGTTTTTACGCTTATGGTTTTTGCCAATGGGGGCTTGGCAGTTGCTCGCTTTGTGGAGACCACTATTTATGAGGCGCCCCCTCTATTGATGGAAACTTAACACTAGTTTTATTTAGCGCGCCCTTTCTCGAAATAAACTTACATCAAGACCGATTACTGGCCGAACTTACAACTTAACACATCTGGGCCTGGTAGTCTCGGGTAATTGCCCGGCCCCCAAAAACGAGTGTGTCATATTTCTTGGACGTTGACTTTCTGTTTTCATTCGGTTTGTATTTTTCGCGCTTAAGATACTATATTTGTTTCGGTCAAACATGTATGATTATTTCATTGTTTGACAGTTTCCCAATAATAGTAAATCTCATAATGTTACGCAGTCATCATGACAGATCACTGGACGAAATTCTAATTTTGAAATACAGAATTAACTCGTTTTGGGGGCAACAACTCAA